CGAGCCGTAGTCAAACGAATGGTGATGATTCCGACGGTACAATGAGCACGGAAAGCGGCAACATTAGTGATGGCCAAGAATAGCACATGTCAACAAACGATCGGAGTACACGATATCATACTCCAAATCAATTACTGTTCTTTTGTGAGAATCCCATGCGCAACGAGATGAAACAAAAACCAACAGATGATCTCTTGTATTGGGCAAATAGACAGGAGGCACACTTTCGATGTGTGTGTGTTTGGGGGGAGATGAAACAAAACAGAACCAGAGGAAAAAAAGCAAGCTCGTTAGTTTGACAGTGGATTATTCCTATAGTGAATGGCACGAGAACGGCGAATGGTTGCCGGGGTAAGGGGGAGAGTAGGCACACACACACAGGGAGAGAGAGAAGCAAGAGATGCAGTAGCGTGTGATTGGGGCGACGGAGAAAGAAAGCATTGGGCGGACGGTCAACTAGCTGGGTGGATGTAAACCCAAATGACGAAGTTGGGCGCTCAGATTCACACGCTGATCGTTCAGCTCGTTCCATTCGCCCTGCATTTCGTTGTTCAGTCGGAGCAGGGTGTGATTCACGGATTTGGCTTCGCGGATCAATGCTCGGAGCAGTCGACGACGGCGACCGGCTGAGTATTGAGCTAATTTAGACGGACGGCGTCCAGTGGTAACGGCCAGTAGCTGGATGGGATCCACGCGTCTGAAGTGAGTACAAATTTCGACTGATTATTTAAAAAAGGATAAATGATTGACAAAGTATCGGAATTCAGTTCTCGTAGCTCTCGGGTGAACTGAATTCCATTTCCCCTGTTCGCCCCGAGCAATTGGCAATTTGTTTGCAAACGTTTTATTACAAGCACTGACGATGTCACCTAGGCTGGTGGTGAAACATTTGTAAACTAATTACCAAGCTCGATGAACAGGCGAAAAGGATAAACAGAAGTTAGTTATTTGAAAGTAAATGAGATTCAACAGGAAACTTATACAACTTGAACTTCAAAATGATTGGCGCAGTTTAGCACGGCAACTACTAGTTACGTATTCCAAAACGGGACACAGCATCGATGTAAAGAGAACTGAGAGTAACCAGTGAAGCTGACAGTACGTTTGCCCGCTAAACCCCAGGCTTACCAAGGAATTTTAGTCCATAAAAGAAAACAAGATTAACGACAAATGATAGTTGATATTTCTAAGCTTTTACTAGATCACACTGGCTAACCAATATCGTGATCTGTTGACAAAATATTGAAAATCGGTTCTCGTAGCTCTCGGGTGAACTGAATTCCATTTCACCTGTCCGCCGAGCTTGTCAATTTGTATGCGAACGTTTCATCACCAGCCGAGGTGACATCATCAGTGCTTGTGATGATCGTCATCTGTTTTGGAACGCAAAAACTTTAGTTTGTCAAATATGCTTGCCAAACAGAGCCCACTGATGAGTTCCAATGAGACCGAAGCTCGAATCGGGTGCTTTTCAAGTGTGTGAATAAACTGGGGGTCCAAAGGATCATCAGTCCAAGGCAAAATCCTATTCTCCATGAAGCATTCCTACAGACGCTTCGCGTGACAATTTTCCGTGAGAAAACAGCGATGATACGCATCAAGTGATCCAATCTGAGAATGTCACAAGCACCCCAAAGGTTTAGGATCAGTTCTTCAATTGGGGGAACTGAACATATTTTAATCAGCGGAATAGATGGATAAAACAGTGGGCCACTTGCCATAATCTGCAATAATACAGTCGTACATCGATCAAAATGTAATGAAAAATTACTACATCTCTTTACACACCCACAAACTAATACGAGGGATTTACCCAGAAATGAAGTGAAAGTATTGATTTCATGCATGACTAAATGGAGAATGAAAACAGACCTCTCCGCATTATTACATACCACAATGGACTGAATGATAATGTTCAGTTCCCATAAGGGTTTTATTTTTTTTTGTAAAACACGTCAGTCTCATGAACAGCAGACCTGGTGTTTACTTATGGAAACCGGTGACCTAAGCCCCAAGGGCTGCAGTGGCGAACCGCATAACTTCCCACTAGGTTAGGTATAGAAATGAACTGGATGATAGCAAATCTGCCTAGCACCAACGTTGGGTAGTGTTGACTGGACTAAACCTTTTGCAAGTCAAGTTATCTCAGTATCATATCAAGATGTCCTCGGATTATTTCAAGATGTCCGGGAATCATTTCAAGTTGACTGATCATTATTTCAAGTTGCCCCCGTATCATTTCAAGATGTTCTCGGATTATTTTAAGCTGTCGCGTTGACTTCACCGGTGCTGAAGTAATTCCCTGACATCTTGATGATACTGGGACAATTTGACTTGCAAAAGGTATAGAACCTCGAACTATAGGGTCTAAAGCACACCGGTGACAGCGACTAAACCACTGCGCAACCACCACCCTGATAAAACTGGACTGTTTTTGTTTTCACAAACACACACACACACATCTTCCTGAGACAGACAACAAACTCTGTGAAATGATGCACCGTCGATTTGTCCAAGATACATAGTGTTCACAAATGATTAACATACCAACATTTAATGAGGAACAAATAACTTTGAAGTTGAGATACGTCACGGGCTTTTGACAAACCGCAGTTTCGTCACGATAATCCCTGGTTTAGTTTTGGTGAGCTTTCGGTTGAAGATGTAGTTTCTCACGTTCATTCAACCTTCGCTAAATGACCTTTTAAGCTTCTCCGATGATCGTTCAGCCTTCGCCCATCGATTTTNTGGCTTTTACCTTTCGTCGCTGTTACGCAACCGCGCGAGATACACCACATCGATGATCATGCCCTCGTCGAATGTGAAGATCCTCGCGATAGACAGATGCCCGGGCAAGCACAGACACACACTGTGTCGCAGTTTTCCATCAAGGCTTGTCCTGTCTGCGGATAACCATATGCCAACGAGCCCTATCTTGGGGTGGTTTTCCATTAGCGATGGTTTACCCACAAGGCAGATACTCGTTCTGATCCGGTAAAAGTAGAGCCTGATCGTAGGACGCAGCTTCGTATCAGTCAGTAAACTAATTCATGATAAAGCTAAAAATTACGAGAGAGGTATGGCTGAGTAACCAGGGGATACCGATGTCATACGGAGACAGTTGCTATTTGATCAATCTATGGTATTCGCCTGAATAGATATAATATTCTGTGGAATATTTTACGGAACTAGCTGCCTCGCGAGGACCACGATGAGTTAATCGGGAACAGGATAAAAGCGATGTTGTCAGCACCGATTAGCTTTTTTATTCTAGGATACGTTCATCGTACAGTGAAGCGAACTTCACTGACCGATGCATTAACCATTTGGATGCAACATCCAAGGGCTGTACCAGATGGACCGGTTTGATGAATTCAATACTCACCACCAAGAAAAAGCCAACGATATGCACGCTAAAATGTGTTAATTGACTGCGAACGCTGTCCCTCAATTCAGTACAGTTCGTGTAGAATCGTGGTGGATGGTCCGACCAGTAGACAACCTTCGCATTTTAAGCATCTCGATTTTAATTTTCATCGGATCCAAAGCGATTCCATCTTTATTTTACTGCGGCTGGCCCCTTAGGAAGAATAAG